ATCTGTAAATAAAAGCTGGGGTCATGATATAATTGATCCAATTTGCCGATTTATCAGTTTTGATTTATCAGATTTAATGATTGGCCCCAAATCGGCTAGTTTTAGGAGAATTGGAAATATTTTATCATCATTTTTTTTTGTTTTGTCTATATTTTTCAGAGCAAATTTTAAGAATAGAGTTCTGTGGTGCTCATTTTGACAAGTTCAGGAGAAATAGAAACATGCGTAAAGTACTCATAATCCTCCATTTTTATCTTGTAAAAAAAAAACTTAAATTTCTTCTTTAAAGTCTTCTTTATATATGCTTTCGAATTCATACAGGCTAATAATACATCATTCTAATTAAATTTTGTTAATTGTTTAATCTTTTTTTTTTCAGGTGCAATTAGACAAATTTTTTATAAATATTGTATTGTTTGATAATTGTTTGATAGTTGTTTAATTATTATTACTTAAGTCAGTTTCTAAATTGAAATGCAGTATCTTAAAATCAATATCAAATGATTTAGCGGATCAAATCATTGACAATTTTCAAGTTATTAAATTTTAAATGGAAAACAGTCTTTTTTTACTGTAAACCTTTAAAAAAATCTTTTTGAAAATTTATCATTATCAATTAAAGTCAATAAAGTTTTTCATTTTTGAAGCTGCACGCATGATCTGGACATTCTAGTTTTGACCTGGTGAACTGTTTTGACATGGGTGACCCAGTTTATTACAACCAAAGTCTAAACTTTGGTAAACATAATTTTGGTAAAATTAATCTGTAACCCTGGTGAACATAATTTCGGTAGAATTTAATTCGTAACTCTGGTAAATATGATTTTGGTAGAACAAACTAACGAGAAGTCTGAGGAAAATCTAATACTACAGAAATTTTTTCGAGATGAAATGTCTCATCGTAATCCTGATTTTATATGCATAGATGACAAAAAAAAGAATTTTATTCCGCAGTATTTAGTCAAGAAGTATGGAAGGTAGAAGATTTTTTTTATAAACTTTTTTTTTATCTTTTTGACTCCGTCGAAGTGTATGTTCTCTGAAATTGAGCTGAGAACTGACAAAGGTTTCGAGTTGGTAACGAATACGAGTGTCTAGACGTGAAACTGGCTCGCAGGAATTGACCGTAAGATATGCTCTGGGGTTCGTTTTCGAACGGGCGAGGGCAAAAGTGTAGCAATTCGAAACATTTGTCGGCTCTTCAGAAAATTTTATTGAAGCGAATGATTATTTTTTCTTTTTTCCCTTTTCTTTTTTCCTTTTTCTTTCTTTTTTCCCTTTTCATTTTTTTCTCATTATTTTTTATTATTTATTTTTTCTCTATTTTTTCGTTGACGAAGATTTGATTACGAATTGTAGGGAAGTATGAGTTTATTTCTTTTTGAATGGTTTGATAAAATAGATGATGATTACTTTTTATTTTTTTTTATTTTTATTTTTTTTGAAGAGGAAACGAAGTACCGATGTCGTTTGAAGAGGACTATTTTTTTTTTAGTTTTTTTTTGCTCTGTTTTTTTTATTGTCTTTGTGGCGAGCGCACTTACGAACCTTTTCAGTTCCGATGCCATTGGGTGGGTTGTCGTCGTTCGTCATGGAGAATACATTATTTTATGGCTTTTTTCCTCCTATTGTTTTTTTTTTTTTTTTTTTTCAAACGCACTTACAAACTTTTTCAGTGGAAATGTCATTCGTAGCAGAGAAGTATTATTTTCTTGCTCGGTTCCTACTTCCTTGAGAACTCTTGAGGGTTATGTCTTTCGCCCGCATGTGATTTCTGCGGCTCTTTGAAAAAGATAAAGGAATTTTTTTTTTTGTTTCTTCGTGTGCCGGCCGTATTTCGTTTCCTGATGTTGCATTTACGGTTTTTTCGTTAACGTCTCCCTTTTTTTAATCTTGTTAGCCTCTGAGTCACCCATTTTTTTATGGTTTATTATTATTTTTTTTTTTTTTAGTAAAAAATTAGCTACAGCATTGTTTGGAGTTCTTTTTTTCTTTATGGTTTCGACTTCTTTGGTTGTCAAACCCGTATCCAACGTTTTCGAATGCTGGTTTGTTTGTTTTTTTTTTTACTAACCTACTAACTAAAAACCGCAGCATACGTTGGGTAGTTTTTGAACGAAAGGTTAACGCTTGTAATGCTGAGTATTACCCTATAAGGTAAAAATCCTCAACCCATCAAGGACGTTGTAAGGCTGCCGATCGCCCGGAACCACTCTAACCGTTCTCATGACCAGCATCCGTATGTGAATTCGAGGGAACTTGGTCCCTTGGTGGGTCGGTTTAAGGCTGTCCTCGTGTTGGCACAAAAATGTGATTTCTAGAGGGTTCGATGATTAGATGAAGGGTCTCTTACATGAGGTAGATTGATCGGTTTATCGGTCATGACAACTCAGTGAGTAATTCCTTCTATGAGTCCCTTTACATATTTCATAGTTAGGTTACGGGCTGGGATCTTTTATGTCGTTTTCGGTGTTGCGCTCAGTTGTTATATTCTTTTCGGGGGTTCCTGTCTGACCGGGTGAATCTCTGATAGAAATCGATTTTTTTTTATGACGCCTCTTTCTAGAGGATGTATAAATTCGAACTTCTCATTTCTTTAAGAACCCACCTGAAGGACTTGAAGAAATATAACTACCTTTATAGCCCTCTCTTTTAGAGGATATATTGATTCATATTGTCTTATTTTTATGGGAACCCTCCTTAATAAGTTTGGTGTCTGATAGAATTTAAAACTTTAATTAATGATAAATGCATCGTATAAAATTAATTTGCTATTTTGTTTCTTTATTAGGTGGATCTTAAAGTTTTTAAGCAATATTTATATGAAGCAAAGAAAGAACATAAATATGTTCAATACGGATTGCATATAGTAGACTGTGCGCGCGCGTTGGGTTGGAATGATCTTATTCAAAAAGACATTTATGACCATATGCTGGAACATCAAGCTAAGCATAACATACATACATATAATCAATATTACAGCTTAATTCAAAAAAAATCATTATAGTCAATATTACAAATTAATCCAAATGAAAAATCCTATTATAATAAATATTTCAAAAGAAAAATTCCATTATAATCAATATTACAGATTTTATTTTCATAATTTGCCTTCTCCACCACATCAGTATTACGTATTTAAAAACTAATACAACTATTAATTTGGATGTACCGTAAACCCTTTTTTTAAACGAAAATAATTTTAGAAAGATGAGAACTGAATTAGCAGAAAAATCCTAGTTCTTTTTATGCGGTTCAGATCTAACTGCATAATGAAATTTAAATATTCATAAAGTACTTGCATAAAAATTTTATATTTTAAATGGTAACGAAGGTGTTCTCCATCAACAAATTTTTGGTTTTAATTAGTTAATTAATAAATGCAATTCGTAGTTAATATAATCAATACTGGAATTCT